ATGGAGTAAACACTCCAGAAAAAAAAAGCGCAACATTATTCTGGCAAGTGCCATTCATTTTACCCTGAAGCTGAAAGATCACGAGCCCTCTGCCGAACACAAAGCGACGCGCTGTACAACGAGGAACGTACCCACGGCGGGCGCGTCGTACTCGTCGCCCAGCAGGATCTCGGGTGCCGAGTAGGCGAGCGAACCGCAGCTTGTCGCCAGCTTGGTGCCTGGCTGGAAGCGGTTGCTGAAGCCGAAGTCGGTGAGCTTGACCACCCCTTGCTCCTTGAAAAACACCACGTTCTCTGGCTTCAGGTCCCTGTGCACCACATGCAGCGTGTGGCAGTAGGAGATGGCGTGGACCACCTAACACACACACACACACGTACACAGCCGGAATTATGTTTTAGCGATTTTCTTCTCTCCGTGGGTTCGTGAAGCGTCGAGATGCCGCTTTGCAGGTTTCACACCAGAAATCCATAGACCACGTCGTCGCAATACTCCAATCGATACATATGGAGCTCTGGCCTAGATGCATTATGTACAATGGTACTCCCCAGTGCCTCCTGCCACAATATAAAAAAAATATAAATCAAAATTTGTTTTCCAAACTCTTCACACACCATACACATCGACACACCTGCATCAATTCTATCCGAAAGTTTGGATGTGTCTCGCAGACTAAGGGATTTATGCTGCAGTCCCTTTCTATTACTTCTCGACGTAGGTGTAGACGACATTTCTGAGAGGGGTGGTTTGCACAGTGCATAAACAAGGTAAAGTCCAAAGCGACCGGTCTGCGCTAACGCCAACCACGCGCGCCGCTTCTAGACTGAGCCATTGTTTTGGTCGTCGCTCCACGTGCATGCTGAAAAATTGGACCATTCGGTACGGAAATTCAGCTCATGGCAAATTACTAATGCTGTATATACATGCCCAAAGCGCAGCCGTGTCGAATTATCCCCAATCACGAATGATCAAATACCAAAATAACGAGGTTTTACTGTACTTGCAGTATTCATGGTTCTCCATGGAATCACCTGTGGTTACCTCTACCCGCTCATCTCACTCTACTCCCTTCCACACTCTCTCTTAACTGCAGCAACAAAAGCATTCTGTCAAAGCCCCAGTCACTCCTTGAGGTCACTCATTCTCTTCTACTGTCTGCATGGTCTGGAACTTCCTTCCATATTCTATCCATGCAGTCATCTCCCTGATCCTATTCAGCATTTCAAGTCCAAGCTCAAGGCCCTTACCATTTTTTCCCTCTGTATAGGATTGACTGTCTATATGAAATCAATATATGTCCGCTCTTTTTGCGGAGTCTTGAGATGTGGTTGTATATTAGCACGGATGGCTATATACGGTGCGAAGTTCAACATACATACACAGATGCTATAAAAATCTAGATCGTATTGCATTACCATGCTTAGATTTACAAATACATATTTTTTTTCACCATGGGTATATGTAGAATCCATAATGGCTACAGTGTTGCCATGAACAAAGCACATACAAAAATGTGAAATTGAAATAATTGATTCTTACATGCACATTTTGATGTTTGCTTCATAAGCATTTTAATACATTTTAATGGATCATCTGTTGCATTCATACTTGTTATAGCGGTGAAAGAGTGAGTGTATCCTACACAAAGTGCTGATTTCACTGCAGAAGTACATTCTTCCTCCAATGAGGTGTGTTAAGCCTATCTATTGTAAATTTCATACACTCATGTGCAGTGCGCAGCGCAATTGTGGAGCACTATTTATTGAGCTGGCCTCATTGTATCTTCAAATAAAATGAATGTTTGCAAGATAACTCCGTAGCACGTAACTTAACATGTCATGCAGAACCTTGAGTAAGCTCCTCGATGCTACACAGAGCAAGACTCTACACAAGTCTTTCAATCCATTTGCCAGGCATTTTCAAGTAGGTACGCAGAGAGACTCCAGTTCCCCGAGGGAATCTTGGCAATAGGAATGAGAAATGAATGAAAAGTGAAAATAATAAAATAATGAAACGAATGAGAATGAATGAGAATATGGGAGGAAATGCATAAAGAGGGACCAAAGCTTTTAGCCAGATGGGGAAATAATGTGCGCAGCTGGGGTATCACAACAAGCTCTGCGGTGTATGTAGGTCAGTGCTCAATTATTTTTTGCACCTTGTCGCACGACCCGTCGGCAACGTGCACATTCCCGGCCGCGAGCGTCAGTGAAGCGAAGGCAAATGTTCACGGGGTATTGGGGCGCTGAAAACGGGGCGCGTACCTGGGCAAAGTACGTCTTGGCAAGCTCTTCCTGCAGGCCGCCTTCGTGCCGCATGATGTAGTCGTAGAGGTCCCCGCCGTCGGCCAGCTCCAGGATGAGGTAGAGTTTGGTCTGAGTGTCGATGACCTCGTACAGCCTCACCACGTTGGGATGTTGGACGAGTTTCATGCACCTGACCTCCTGCTCAAATAAGCACGCAAGTGCGGGGGGTCAGGCGAGTCGGTGACGCCCAGGACGGCCGCTTAAGCAACCGATCTGCAAACAAACGCAACTTTTTGCAACAACAACAGTTAAATCACCACAAATGTACCCAATCTCGTGGAATCTCCGATGTTAAACAGGGTTGACCATGGTTTAGGCTGCAATGTGGCCAGGAGATGGCACGAAATCAAAAGGTTAAAGAATAAATGAGTGTGAAGCCTTGGAGTGTTATCCCCTTGTTTGTTGGGTTTTCTCTGTGTGCTAGTTTCTTCCCACATGTTAATCAACCATTATTGGATTGGTCAAAAATCCCAACGTAGGAGCCTCCTGAAATGGCGTTTGAGTCTTGGTGAGCCTTTCCTACATAAATAAAGGGCATTATTCTTCTAAAAAGAGTGTGGCTTAATCGTTACTAGTGCATATAAGGGAGCCCCAGGTGCTGATCTGTCAACCTTTGCTCTTGTAATTCTTACCACCTGGGAGATAGTGGGTGTCAAATTGATAGATCACCAACTCACACAAGAGCCTAAACCTTAAAGGAATGACGACAATGTTCTCAATACAGCATCACACCAGCATAGTGTGTCGCAAGTAATGTTTTTAAAGCACACACTACCAGAGAGCCGACGTATCTGGACTTTAACTTCACGTCAAAAACCCCTAGAACCCAAAAAAATCATAGCCAGCTCAAGCAACCAATCGCATCGACACAATTATCTTCACTATTAATCACGTTAAAGCACGCGACAGCAAGAGGACATTTGTGCGGTGACAACCTTAAAAAGATCCACAGAGCTTTGCAATTGGCATGACAGGCATACCTCTACTCTCTTTGTTGAGTGAGCTAATGAGATTTGCCTTGCTTCCTAAATGGCAACCACAGCTGGCACGAGGCTGAGGTCCCAGTTGCTAATAGTTTGCATCTAAAGCAACCGCGACCGGTACATATGCACAGCTCATTCATTTATTCAGCTGCTACTATTTGTGCGATTTAATGGCCCAAAGAGTGTGTGTCGAAGCCAGATACAAATTGGTGAGAAGTACCGCATGAGCATCAAATGTTAACTTACAAACAGTTCCATGTTTTTACACAAATGATGATAAATTACTTGATCTGCAAGTTGCCCTAACCCTTTTCATCAAACATCAACTTCTTAAGAGGAGAAACAAATACCAGCCCTTTATCAATTACACACATTCATCAAAATACAACCGAGCATGAATGTAAATATTAGGTTAAGTTAATTTTTCCGTGGCATATCTAAATGCGCTTTTCTTATTTAAAACGAGGAAGTTTATCTGTAATGCCCGTGTCTTTTGATCTTTGCATTTAGCGTAAAGAGCATGGAAAATGTACGCATTATTTATTTATTAGCCACACCAGATGTATGGCAGTGGATAACACAAGCTAGCTTGGGAGTGTAACAGCGGCACACTGTACTTTATCCCTTATTTATGCGGCATATATTTAAAAATATTAAGGGGACACATGCCATTATGTAAACAATTAACTGGATGTCTACAACCCTTCTTTTTATCTACTGCTGAATGAGGGCCACCCCCATGCCCGTGCAATTTATGAGGGCTATTGACCATACCTCACCATGATGGTCAGTGCAGGTTGGTGAAGGTGGGGCACGTATATACTGAAGTAGAGAAATACACTACAACAGTGAATGAGTTAAACTTTCCTCTACTGCCCACCGCGTATCTTAGAAGTCCCCACAAACACCTGTATGTACATGGTGGTCACACATCCAAGCACTATCCAGGCTCAAAGCTGCCAAAAGCGTCCGAGACCTGACAAGATCGGGCACATTCCAAGTGGTTTTGTCAGAGGCTTTTAAATGCATGATCCTTAGATGTTAAAAAACAACATCGGATCTGCCTATTCTAAAAAACAAATCTAAAGAATGGAGGTTTCTCTATGACTCAACATCACACACTAAAGTACTCTTGAAGAGACAGATGTTTTTAAAATAGCCATTAAAATGCGGTTACTGTTGGGTCAAGGATCTTTATAGCAAAGCACTGTTGACCTTAAGCTTTCATAGGGGTGTCTTGTGTACACTGCACCACGTGATGCATAAGATAAATAACATCCATATATACAAATTTGCAGATTCTTTTTTCCATGTACCACTGCAATATTTATTTATACATTTACTCATTTTTGGCTTTGGAATATACAATTGGACTCGGTAAAAAGGCACAGAAACCTTTTATGAATTATATTTTAATGAAATAAATATATTCCAATAGAATTTCTTAATATAAAAAAAACGTAGTGCAAACACACGAGCAAATTACGATATTTTACTGAAAAAGCACTTAATGGCCATTTCTGTAGATTTAAAAATATTATAGCAATCAGTAAAATGGAAGTGAAATAAACATTGAAATTGTAATGCACCAGTTAGCTCAATTTAAACCGAAAGCTTTTACGGCATCTCCCAACTCTGCTCATGAAATATGTAATTTCAAATATGGCTGTGCATTCCACAAGCATCGATGCCGAATACAACAATTGTTATCGCTAGAGGATATCAGGTAAAACCGGACAAGTCGGTGCACATACGTCAAGTGCACGAAGCTCACACCGATCCCCTCCAATATGTTGACTTAAAAAAAAGATTCCAATGGCTTTCAAAGCAGCCAAATAAGGACTGTGGCTCGCACCGGCCAACTTGGGAGGGTGGCACGAGGCACAGTGAACATTTATCACCAAAACGAGCCACCATTAAGAATGTTCTGGGGATCCCTTATGAATACAGCATGGGGGTGGGGGCTAATAAGCTACAGAAAAAAGGTAATTCTGGCTCATTCCATCTCCATTTCTTCTACCAATGTTATCTTTTAAATATATTCCACATTCTATGGGAATCATGTTAGGAGGTGAAATTATGATATTTTTTGGTGCCGTCAAAAGTGACCACGTTGAGACAATCGAACCTAGCTTTAAATCATGGGTGGCCAACTGGATTCAAACCCAGGCTCTCGGCAGTGGAGGGCTCAGTACTTTGACATGGTCATCCCCAAGCCACCCTGCAACTTCAGTCCAAGTCATTTATTTATTACAGCGATTAGGATGTGGTTCTTTGGTGCCAAAACTCCGCAGGCATCCTTACATAATTCCGCTGAAAACACGACTACAGTATTTCACCGCTATTTCAATTCCACATCCATTATTCCAATTCCAGCCACACTGTACAACTGAAAAAATGCATCAAGTAGCTCCATGCGAAAATGCCACTGGGATTTTGTCCAGACAGACGATGCCGCGTAGAATCGACTTGACCGTATTGCGCAAACGCACCCTTTTACCACCCTGTTGGAATCGTGGACCCATAGAGCCACGGTCCACAAATTAATTCACAAAAAATATACAAGGTGATCAAATGTATTTGTGAACCATTGGAATTGTCAAATAGACGCAGCTCAGATTAGCGTAAGAAGAAGAATCCTAAATTGTATTCATTATGTCTTTTAAATTATTGGCCAAATATCATCTCCTGGCAGCTTGGCAAACGCATCAAGTGCCAGCCCAGACCATTTTTTTCTCAGCAAGCAAGGCTGGTAATTATTGTAGCGTTTAATAAACAATTCAGGACGGACGGTCTTCCAACACCAATTTAGTCGGATCATTATGTAGCCTAACCCTAGAATTATGAATCTCCGAAAATGTTCCAATTCGGGTCTTAAAAAGACATGTAATTGTTAGCTGTTTGCACAACATTAAATGATCCAAATGTTTACTTTGCAGGAGGTGCCCCTCAGTTAATGCCATGGATTCTAACCACTACTGAAATCTGATGTCTGTCAAGAGCTGGGATAATTCATGTTAAAATAGGAGCAGAGTTTCATGACCTTAATGAATGAAATTAGAGTTTTAAGCAAATAAATAAATATGCAGACACACACACAAACAAGTGCAGTAGTCATTCATATTGTTTTGGTGTGTGGGAGTGTGTATTTTGGCAGTGTGAACCAACTTTTAATTACATTTAGAAACTTCCTTAAAAGTGACTTTGGTACGATGTGCCAAACAAATGCTAAATACGGCAGCCTAAATTTTTACATATAATACATGTATATAATATAATTAACAAAACTACAGGGTTGTGCATATCTTTTATTATAATAATTTTCAGCGTTTTACTAATTCTCAATTGAAGAAAACCCCTTGCCGTGTGGGTCATCGGTGTTGTTTAATCATAACTTCACCACACTGGTTAATTCAGATTGGTGTAAGACCGGTTTCCGATTTCATTTGCACTGCTGTTAGCCGTGGATGGGAATCAAACATGGGTCAGAGTACAGTGTGCTAATCACTGTCACCACGCCACACCCTGCATGCCTCTTATGGTTATAAAAAAAAATTCCAAAGGATGTTATTGTAAGTATCCAAACTAGGCAGGCCCATTGTTATAAAATCAGTCACATTTGGAGAGAAAAAAAAGCATCACCATTACTCATCTAGAGGTAATAAAAGTACTTCCACTGCATTTCACATATTATCCTTGTGTTCCGAATTATTTCAGCTTCACATTTTTGCAGCAACACATTTCATAATTTTCTGGCACATGTTGTGCTTTCAAACAGAGGGGTATGGGTCGGAGGGGACAATGTGTTCCATGTGCCAACGCGGGTGGGTGTCGGAACAAAACTTTAACGTACACGTCAATACGAATGAGATTCACGCACCATCTGTGGCCATGTATCAAATCATCACCACGACCATTAGCCAACCAAACTCGTTAGGTTGCCCGCAGTCAATGGGTGTCCTAATCAACCTCAACCAGATGTTCTTGTTTTGCAAATTCCTTTCATTGACAAGCGGACTTAATTTTTAGAAATTATTTCCAAATGTACTGAATGTCGTCAGTTTGCTATGTTGTAAATGTACGACTACAATTTTCATAGACATCTGAAATACAAGCTCCATCTGCCCATAGGGACAGAAATATGAAAAGATGTACATGTCTGAATACTCCTAAGCCCAAAGCGACTACCCAATCCACTTATCACATTAAATGTTTTACTATACCCTTAAGCATATATATAAAAACAGCCTTTTTATTAATCCATTGCTGGATAACAGCCTCCCCCACGCCGTCCATGTCAGTCATGTGGGATATATGACCATATTTCACCACGATGGCCAATATGTGTTTATGAAGGCAGGACGCGTAGACATTGGAATGTAGTACACTACCAAATGGATTTTGCTGCATTTACCTCTGCCGACTCCAACCTGTTGAGCTTATGAGATTTGGTGAATTGGGTGACGTGGTCATCAGCTTAAGCACACGTGGAGTGAATCTAAATCAGAGGCATGCACGTTCCTTTGGTGCAACGATGATAGAATATTACAATGTTTAGTGTGGGACAAAGGCACAAAACACGACCGTGAGTTTTGGCAACATAAGTCATGAGCAGATGGCGGAGTTTCCATGCCAGAGGTGTATACAGACACCTACAATTATGCATACCTAAAGTACCTTTATGCCTACAAAGGGTATGGTTATGATAACAGTAATAACAGTCTGCTCATTCAAGAAAACTTCAGAGTATTCAAATGTTTTCTGTGTGGGTGTTTTTTGGAGAAGGCCCGTAATATGATGTTTGGTTAAGTCACTTGAAATATTGCATTCTGGCTTGAATAGGGAATACCCATAGAAAACAGACACGTGTAAATGGGACAATACTCAATTAACCATATAAATAAGTTCAACACCTGCTTTCTATACTGCAATCCAATTGCCACAATGTAGTGTTGCAGGTGGGTGAAGCACAATTAAAAATAACTGGGGACATTCATCATTAAACATTGCCTTCTAACAGAAAAATCCATAACAGCCTAAAGTTTTGGGGAAATGGTCTTTCCTCAAGAGGATAGAGATCAGAGGCTGAGATACTGCTGCCGTAGGGTTTCACAGCTGTGCTGTATAGCTCTCCGATGCGTTTCGCTCAACGTGCCCGGGAGCTTCCTTTGAGGTTCCTCCACAGGCTCTCCTCAGCACTTGGGAGAAAATGTTGAATATCATGCCGGTACAACCCGAAAACACATCGGCGAGCTGATGAGATTAGCGTAGTTGGGAGAAGGCACTTTAAAAGTGGATGTTATACACACAGAATAATGTCTGCACCAAGATCCACCAACTTGGCCTCCAAAGAAAGGGCTCGATCACAAGGCTTGTGACACGTTGCGTGGAGTGCTGTAGACTCACCTGGAAGAGGTGGCTGGTGGCCATGGGGTCCAACTTGCTCTTGTCGATGACCTTCACGGCCACCTTCTCGCCCGTGAAAACGTGGCGTGCCAACTTCACGACGGCAAAGTGCCCGCGTCCCAGCGTCTTCTCCAGGTCGTACAACCCGGCTATCTTGCCCGCCTCCATCGCGTGCAGCGTTGCAATCACTTCCAGTTTACGACGAGGTAGGCTCTCGCGCACTTTGGAACTCACAAAGGCTGTGCTCGGTCTCGTAGTGTTCAAAAAATGCAATGAAATTGTGTTTTTTTTTATCGCGTTGCTCAATATAAGAACACTGGAACAAATAGCCCTGAGGATAAACTGACCTACTGGGTGATAACTATGTAACAATTAGCAAGTCATTTAAAATGCTCTGTGAAGCAAAAAAGACATATCTTAGACGCGAGGCGTGTTAAAGGTTTTTTGCGTGGGCAAGATGTGCGTAACTTCAACGAGGCACACTAATGATGTATTAACCTTCCCTGGAGAAGCCCAAGGCTGTTTTGAAGAATGACGTACGTGAAGGACATCTTGCTTGGAACTTTGGTAAATCAGTTGAGAAGCACCAAATACTTTCGACTTGAACCATCACGATCTCATTCAATTAACAAAGCAGCTGCTAGTGTCCGTCACTAAAATGAAACTAGTTAGTGCCGGATGATAGAATGTGTTTTTTCTATGTATATCAACAATGTCTTCCTTCTTAAGTGATAACAACATCCTTCAACATGGTGTGTTGTAATTTTCCATCTTCACTTAAAAGTAATGTCCTTAAAAAACCGAGTCCATTGTTGCCATTACCTGTGAAAAAAGTACAAAATAATGCATGATCACATTTACAGTATTTAAAATATTCAACAAGTACCAACCGTGCTACTAAATGAGAAACAATTATATGTACTGGATGCATCATGCATTCAGTCACAACTGAGTACCAGGCATCATTCTGTTAAAACTACTTGGCTGCACTGAGTAAATAAAAGATGGAATTCAAAACAACAACTATGCACGACTAAAGCGATACGTAACAAGGTAGGGCAGACCTGGCTGTTTAATCTGCACCGATCTGTAGCTTTGTCGTGCTGGCAGGGACGCTTATAAGATACGCATCAATATGTGAAGTGGATGAAAGCGGGGTGAGAGAAAACGCACGGTGGTATAAAAATGAAGTCGCAAATTGTGATGGATGGTTGTTGGAACGGTGGAGTGGCTGACTGTGGGTGGACAATGTAGGATTATGTTTGCATAGTCATTCCGGCTGAGCGCAAATGCCAATCACAATCTTCATAGTAAATAATTTTGGATAAAGTACAGTATTTTCCAGCACCTTAAACCTACCCAAAATGTATCTTCTGCATTAGATTCGGTAAATTTGCTGACAGTTTGAGAATGTGTTCATTGCTTGTAGCTTTCACATAGATGTTATGTTACGCTCAACATATGTTTATTTATCAGGAACAAATTACTTGTTGTAGAAATAGCTGTTTCCTGTCTTGTGAATTCATTTAGAAGAACTCAACAACGCCTTGGTGAATTGCGCAGAAAGTGCTTAAATGCATGCAATGCATAATCACAGACGAGCTTATAAATATTTAGTGACTTTTAATGTCATATTGTTCTACTAAGACATACATATGAATATACATTATGTTTTATATTCCTATAAATATTTTATAATATTATGGTGTTTTGTCTATGGCAATTTAACCCATAATGTATCAAATATCATATCTCATGAGAAAAGCACGTTTGAGCGCCTATGGAGCCCGTGGGTGGCCATACATGGGTAAGATCGGCTGCTGCTGCGTTATGTTGTGAACCAGAGGACAAAACAGTTCAAACTATTCATCTTCTTGGTTCTTTCGGTAAAGTCACGTAGAATGGAGATAATAAAATAATAAAAATAAAACATAATAAAATAATTCTCACGACGTTTCGGCCACAACGCAAGCAGCCGTCCTCAGGTGAAGAACAGGTCTGTCAGAAAGACAGCGTCTGAATGAACACCACCAGGCTTGGCAGCGTATATTTAAGCTGGGTTGTGGCCGAAACGTCGTGAGAATTATTTTATTATGTTTTATTTTTATTATTTTATTATCTCCATTCTACGTGACTTTACCGAAATAATCAAGAAGATGAATCCTGCAGTCACGAAAGCTTTAAATCGAAAGTTAAAACTATTGTTATATTCCACTAATGCCCCCCCCCGCCCCGAATTCACCAATCCACAAATAACAGGCAAGGTGGTCAGTTAGCTACCGTGTCCAACACGCCACGGGGATTGACAAATAGTATTACCATTATAATAGCCAACTCATTTGATTACAGAAGGCTAAATAACCTGATTACTCTAATAAGAGGCTGAAGTGGGTTAGCAGATAGTCAGCCCTATCTCCAACCCTAATCAGATACAGCCTCTTAGTGGAAGTAATGAGGCAATTTAGCCGCTTTCAGGAATGAGGCAGAAAGGGGAGCTAACGTCAGTCAAAAAAAAATACATGTTCACCACCAACACATACCATGCATTATGGACAGCCAGAGGCATGTCAGTTGAGAGCTTATAGGAACAGTTTCTGAATGGCTTAATAATGTATTTTATTTATCCAAAGGACAGCAGAATAAGCCTCACAATACCCTTTGTAATGTGATATCACATAACATTGTTACAATAGCGCAGTTTTACAATTTACAACTACAATATTTAGATATGAAACTTGAGTAACGATGCCAACACATGATGGTCGTGCTTTGTCATCAGTTATTATAGACACTTAAGTCTGTGGTTGTTAATTTGACAGGTTTAGCATTCTTAATTTTCTTATGAAAAGAAGACACCTTGGTGAGTCTAGTATGTGAAAATCTAACTGTCGAACCTTTGCAAACATGCCATATATATAATATGGGCACTGATCACAAACTCAAGCCACGTTATCAAACAGCCGCAGACTGGAGGAGCGAACTAGCCATTATAGTAGCACGTGGCCAAGAAAATACACATGCATCACAGGTCACCTTGGTAAGCTGTGCACAAACAGGTGGTGGTTGTGATGTTTGTTACCTTGGTGGATGGCAATGGAAATCGTAAACGTAAAACGAGTGAATGGAACAATTACTCAAATAGTAAGAAGCCAATTTCTAATTGTGGAAAGTTGCACGCACGGCATCATAAAAGTAGTTTTATAAATGCGCTAGGGCATAATACTCACCTGACAATTCTCTCTCGAGCTGATGGAAAAATACAGTACTTATTTATGGGATTCAACAAATATTCCAATAGGGCATCCGCCTGGAAAAAAAGTCTAGTCTTTTTGTCCTGCCTAAATACAGTTTATTATGATCATATTTCAATATGTACAATTAAATTACAAGGGCTATCTTACTCGCATATCAATTGCTTGGCGAGTGTTCTTAATTCATTGGCAGCTTAAATATACGCTCCAAGCCTGGGGTGTTTCATTCAGACGCTGTCTTTCCGACAGACCTGTTCTTCACCTGAGGACGGCTGCTTGCGTTGTGGCCGAAACGTTGTGAGAATTATTTTATTATGTTTATTATTTCCCTTCTACGTGACTTTACCGAAAGAACCAAGAAGAAGGTGAGAGACTACTTAGTGGAATAAGTCAGAACAATAATCCATGACTTTGCCACTCTATATGTACTGTACTGTAACCTGCAGCACACACATGGCCATCTCCAAGCCTCAAATGTCACTTTTGGCAGCCACTGCTGGCCCGGTTGACATTGGCTGAGAGGACACCAGATTTGCTTTTGCTTGACAGTTGTCACGATGAAGTTACAACGAGAAATTACAACTACCTTGAACGCTGAAAATGCCCGAATCCTAATACCCAATCATCCACCTCTGAAGAGGTTTGCCCCGAAGTCGTCAGATCTTAAAAGATAGGAATGTTTTGAGCCTGGAAGCTTGTGTTGCGAGGCTGGTTAGGAGAGGAGATGGCATACAAGAACGGATTCTTCAATCTATCAATCGTATTGTTCCTGGTGGGGCTACTCACACCGCTCATTACACAGGAGGACAAAAAGATCGCAGCCACACATCCTCTAATGTAGCAGGCATCTGTGAAATAGCCTTGAGTTTCAAGGAAGCTTTCCTTGGGTACATAGACATTACATAACGCGGAGCAGAACGCTATAGAAAAACAAAGAAATCTTAACAGTAGCAACCACAGTCCATGGCATCTTGAACGCGTGTATTATAGTCCGGCCGGTGTGTTTTGTTGTTGGTGTAGTTGTCTACTCGATTTTTGCTGCTGTTATCGGCACTGCCATCAAAATACTGCATTGGCTTCTATCACGCAGAGAAAGCGCATCGGGCGCTATCCATCATCACTACAGCCCAAGAATACACACACACAACTCCTTGTGTCAAGTCGTCTCTCGCCGAAAACCCCTGGATATTGCTAATTTCATTCGAACAAACACACGGGAAAATCATAAGAAGCGTCCGGGCAACATTCGCCGCTATTACCAGCCGCAATATTCTGCGGTTTAAAAACATTTTATCAAGTTTTACCGCTGCGGCCTAGCGCGCTCCACGCTCCCCTCGTGAGCCTACGCACTTTCCTGGCGGCCCCGCCGATGTTGAGACGTGCGCCTCGGTATCGCGACCAGGCGGAGGACCGCGGGGTTGGCGGGGTGGTGATGATTGAGATTTGTGGTTTGACGTTCGTCGTGACGGTGGCAGTGTTTGTGGCGGCGCGATGGAGACGTCTCCACTGACCTGGCCGTGTCCGCATTGCGACGAGGGCGATGAGGAGACGACGAGAACCCGCTGCGAACGCCACTTCGCCGCTCAACGTTAAGAGCCCGGGATCCGGATCGCTGGGAGTTTAAACGTAAGAGGCGGGAACCGGATCCAGTCAGCAAGCCCCTTGAGTGGCGGCAAGGTTTAAGAGGACAAATTTATTTAATGATTCCTTATAGCTCATCTAACAACAACAAATTGCATTTATATAGCGCCTTTCACATCGGGAGGGCATCCCAGGTCACAGAAATCCCTCTGAAATAGGGGACCGTTCTTTGTTACTCTTCTCTATATTTTAGGCCCTGGCCAGTCCCTAGATGCCGTGGCATCTAGAACTATACACCGTACTCCAGGTGAGGCCTGCTCATAACTGTTTAGCTTGAGCATGACTTCTAGGGATATAAACTCAACTGATCTGGCATTATAGTCCTGCACCCTATTTACCTAATTTATTCCTGCCTTACACTATTCAAACATGGTGGATGATGAGTCAGCTGACATCCCCAGGTCTTTTTGCGAATTCCACCGTGGAAAATTCTATACCATCCAAAGGGTACACACGTCTTCTATGTACCTGCACTTATTAGTTGTATTGAACTTCCTTTACCAGAGATGGATCCACGTGGAAACCCTACCAAGCTCTCTTTCATTGCCTCCTCTCATTTCATAGTTCCCTCTAACTTGGGTGTTGTCTGCACATTAAACTATTGTGTACTGACTGCAAATCCAGGCCATTAATCTACACAAGGAACAGAAAGGGTCCCCAGCCAGACCCCCGATGCACTCCTTTCAATAGCACCATCATTTGGACATATTCTTCCAACCTAGAATCTTAGCTTCACTAATGTCAAAGTCCTGCAGCTCAAACAATACATGTTTATTATTACATTTTTTTGTGACCTTCCTGATTAAACACAGGAAGTATTCAATAAAATGTGTTACCAACTGTTCATCCTCTATTCTAACTTGCTTTGGGTCCCTTGGGATATTAACTTGCTTCTATCTACCCTCTTATCATATTTGACAAATTTTGTGCAGAAACCCATTGCTATACTTAAGAATCTGTAATTCCAGCTCACCTGCTCTGAAGTGTGCGATCTCTCCCCTATAAGGCACACCTCACTTGCCAATGCCAGAAGTTAAGAACTTGTCTTGCAGGATTATCAGAAGTGAAGTGAGAAGAATTACATCCCTATGTGGCATGTCTATGTCCAAGTCCCACTGACCAGAAAGACAGGATGGTCAGCCATCCGCAGTGCGCTGGAGTACTGTGGGCCCCCCCCACTCATGTAATGGATCAAGCCTACCAAAGAGAGCTGACTCAACTCTGCTATTCACTGCAGAGCCAACCCACCCCTAGGAGATACTTGTTCATCCCTCCCCCCACACACATTACACAGTTGCAAATTTTTCAAGCGTGTATTTACAAGTCCTCTAATTTCCATATTCTAAAAGAAACGTTTCCCAAATCTTAGGAACATCCACAATTTCAATATACGGAATTAGTTGCTGATACATATTGATACACACGAACATCAAAACATCGCAAGGTTGTAGACCTCTATTACTTGATATATACCGATTTGAGTAACGCTTCTCCCCTAAATGAAAAATAGTCAGTTTAATTTGAATGTAATAGTGGGTTTAATTGCTTTGTGATGAAGTCTGAAGCTTGTTGGACTTTCAAATAATGTGAGGTGGTGATGCACAATCAGATCACTGGCATGTCTGGATATTTTCTGACATGAAATAATTTGAGGTCTACATTATGGTCAATCCCTCTGCAGGGTGTCAGTTTGGCTCAATCGGTTGCACTGTTGTCTTTCACAATTTCAGGCTGATCCTTCAGTGCAGTACTGAGAGCTGGCCTCAATTGTCAAGAGGCGATGTCCTTCGAATGAAACATCAAAGTCCCATTCGCCTGCTCTTCGAGTAGATGTTACAGATCCCACGACACCATGTGAAAAGATTAGGAACTTTCTCCTGGTATTCTGGACAGCAATCCTCCAGATAAAATCAGTCATCTCATGGCTGTTTGAGACGCCGGCTGCACACTAAATGACTGTCGTGTGTGCTTACAAAGAAAGTCACTACACTTGATAGTAATTACTTTATAGCACTTTGAGACACAAACGTGATAAGATGCAATAAAACTGCAAGTTCCTTCTTTCTAGGAAAAAAGTAGTCCTTTCATCGTATTGTTCTAATTCCCACCCTCTTTTCCTATATATTTTCCTCCTTTCATTTTTTTCTTCCCATCCCCATTCTTGAAGGCATTGAGACTCCGTTTTCCTTCTACTGGGGTTCTGTTCTCACACTGGCACCTTCCAGAATCTTGCCCAACTGCAATTATTCAAATTAAAAGCCTGGACCACGAATCCAGGACATAGTCAAGACCTAATCCTATCCCAACCCAACATCCACATTTTTCAGCAGGGATGTAGGAATGGTTTAAGTGATAGGACAGCAATCCATTCAAGTTGTTTCTCTTCATTGTGAATTAGTTGATACACTTGTCAGAAATAGTCTATAACACACATGTATTTCAAACTTTTTGGGGTCCAGGTGCACTGTCCATTAACCAGATGTAGCAACAATTTTGTTTCCCAGGAGTTAAGATAAGGCAATAAGGGATATGCAAGAAGAGGTATTATTTTTTTCCCCCCAAAAAACACACATACACACGCGCACACAAAACACGCTCACATTGTTTCTCTGCAGGGTTCATGTGGGCTCAATATCGATGCTTTTCACTTGAACGTATACCAAAACTATTTCTCTGGAATGTGGGTTTGCTGATGTGCTTTAAAAAGGTTGACCGAGGAGAATCGTTGCTTACACACCTCGCACGCAAATGGTTTATCTCGCAGGTGTATGCGCTGGTGGGCTATCAGGTGATTGGATCGATAAAAGCGTTTTTTGCACAGGTCACACTGAAAAGGCCTCTCTCCAGTGTGGGTCTGCTGGTGCATTGTCAGGTGAGTCGAGGTGGGATACCTCTTCTGGCAGATGCCGCACTCAAATGGCTTGATCCCAGTGTGACTCCGTTCATGTTGCTTCCGGTGACTGGAAGTGCAGAACCTCTTGTCACACATCCTGCACGGGAAGGGTCTCTCTCCGGTGTGGGTTCGCTTGTGCTCCGTCAGGTGGCTGGACGTACAGAACCTCTTCTCGCACATCCTACAGGCAAACGGACGCTCTCCGGTGTGCGAGCGCTGATGCTCTGTCAGGTGGCTGGATGTACAGAACCTCTTGTCACACATCCTGCAGGCAAAGGGTCTCTCTCCAGTGTGGATTCGCTGATGCTCTGTCAGGTGACTGGAAGTACAGAACCTCTTCTCACACACCTTGCAGGCAAAGGGTCGCTCCCCAGTGTGGATTCTCTGATGCTCTCGGAGGTGGCTGGATGTGCAGAACCTCTTCTGACAGATGGTGCACTGGAACGGCCTCTCCCCAGTATGAAATCGCTGGTGCACCGCCAGGTATGTGGAGTTATAGAACTGCTTCTGACATATGGCACACTCGAACGGTCTCTCACCGCTGTGAATCAGTTGATGCTTTTTCAGGCCCCCGGCTCCACAGAACTGCTTTTGACACATGTTGCACTCAAAGGGTCTCTCCACTGTGTGAATACTCTGGTGCCCGATCAACTCTCCAGCAGTGTAAAAGTGCTTATCGCACATCATGCATTCAAAGGCTTTCTCTCCAGCATGCTCGGGATCATGCTCGGTCAGTTTGCTCGATGTGCAAAATTCTTGTTTCCCAGCAATGCACTCGAAGGGTTTCTCTCCAGTGTGAATATGCTTAGGCTTCGTCAGGTCAATGGACGTGAAAAGCTCCTCCTTACACTCACCGGACTCCACTGGTCCATCTTCTGAGTCAGTGCCCAGGCTTTCCACTTCTGGTGAGGGTACGAACCCTCTCTCACATGCTGAATAGTGGCCTGCCTCTAGGGCAGGTGGTGACTGACTGGGACCTGGAGCCTGGGATTTTTCCAACTGATCATTTATTGCAGATTTTGTTTCTTTCTCAACTTTCATCTTCACGTCAGTTTCCATATTCAATATTCTTGCGCTGGGTTTTGTAATCTAAAATAAGCAAAACAAGATTTTAGCTGCAAATTCAGCCTGACTGACTGTAAAAAAATATTCTTTTTGTGGCATTTCTTGTTCATTTATACCCAAATGCTTACACAACACATTATCACTTCCCATCCATAATGTGGGCCCACCCTGGATCTCCACAGAATTCTGAAAGCATCCATGTTACAGAGGTTCTACAGTAAACGTCACACAAGTCATATCAGTTGGGACCCTACATTTTAACATGCTTATGCAAAGTATGAGTTATGTCAAACTTGCATAAGTTGTATCATATATCAAACTTGCATAAGTCGTATCACAAGTACAAGTACTGTACTGGCTGGTGACAATGAGGTAAAGGTTGATGTACCATGTTTAATCCATACATATTAAACCTATGGTACCAATTCTTTCCATATACAGTATTGCCCAGTACTATACCTCACGTACAGAAAACATGTACTCTACAATGAACGCACAACCAAACAGGCTTCAAAACAGAACTGTTTTATTAGAATATAAACTCTTACAAAGATTGTTTCACATGGAGCAGGATGCTCCAACTGGAGACAGTTGGCTGCTGAGGGCTAGATGTCCTGTTTGAGAACCACGGATCACTACCCTCAATTCCCCTCTCCTCACTTGCTGTTTCTCTCTCTCGATCAATCACTCTTCCCTCTCTCTTAATTACTCTCTCCCCCCTCTTCGTGCCTGTTTCTCACTCTCCCTCAATCACTCTCTTCCTCTCTTTTTCTTCCTCCCCACCATTCCCTCAATCACTCTCACCCATCCTCTGTTGTGCCCCAGCCCCATTAATTTACATTGAATCAGACTGTAAATTCATCAGGAAAATACACTGAATCAAAACATTACGATTGCTATTAATTTGATTAATTGTTGGTTTAATAAATATCATTGGGGGGAGGGAGGGTTGTTTCCTCCACCACTGTTAAAGGCTTCAAGACATTACCCTAGGTTAAGAACTATCTAAATGCAACTTATTGTATTTGGAGTCCTGTAGTATGTTAGAGCACTGACCCCAAGCGAGAGGACCTGGGTTACGTTCCGGGCAGGGCAAACATTGGCAAGTTTCCTTACTCCACGTGCCTCTGGTTACCAGCAGTAATAGGACCTGTGTCAATGTGTTGGGAGATTATTGTTTTCCGGCAGTAATAATCCAAAATATAAAAAAAATTGGCACTCAATCCACACTGTTTGTGGACGCTTGACAATAATGGCTGCGTGTTCACCCACAAAATACAGTCAATTCATTTACAGTATATTCTGTGAAGAGCTTTGAGACGTCCCGAAGATGGGATATAGGCCTTATCAAATGCAAGGCTTATTATTATTTGGAGCTGCCTGGCAGCCTAAAATTATACTCTCCAAGTCAAGTGATTTAATTTCTCAGCATTAGTTTGATTTATTATTCATTAAATATGCAATGGTTTGGGTGAAAACCGGGCTCCATATTTCAGAGCTGCTCCACCCCGAAGAGTGGGTGGGACACATACCACACACATGCACTTAATGATAGTTTTTCTTTTGTGACCTACATCATCAAAATAGCACACTGAATCAGTCTGAAAAGAAGTGTTTCTGCTGGAGGTTTAATCTGCTTGTGTGGTATTATATTGTGTCTGTAGTAAACTTACTTACCGTGATCTTGAGATGTGGCAAGGTTCTGGCACAATCTGTCTGTATTTGTCTGGACAAAGGGCGGCTCAGGACAGATTTCACAGAATAGATGTTTTGCTCAATGCAATCTGGATAAAACAGAAACAACTTACACTTACATAGCAACCTTTACAGAGTATCTCAGAGTGCTGTACAGTGGAAAATTGGATGCTGAGCAAAGAAGGGGAGATGACCATAGACATGGTTAAAGAGGTGGGTATTAAATTGGGATTTAAAGCTGGATAGATAAGGAATGAGGCAGAGGATTTGAGGCAGGTGCTCCAGAGGTAATGGGGCAAAGTGGATAAATGTGTTAAGTACAACCTTATTATTTAGTCATATCTGGAACACCATCTCTTTTAAGTCCCTATTTGATTCATCTGCCTTGTGATTCAGGTGGCCGTAAAGACTGCCCTTCCCTGCATTATGCGATAATAAATAGCGTTCTTCCTTTTTAATCTTGGTTCATACTTCCTTCTCACCCAAAGATTAAAATTAATTGAATATTAACTTTCATTGTTGTTTACAGGACTTTATGATTTTTGCAAATTACCTGTCGAATTTTGTTCCATTAAAACAATAATCCAGAGTCCTGTAGCTCAGTGGTTAGAGCACTGCTTGCAAGCGGAGAACCTGTTCAGATTCCGGCAGAGCGAAACCTTGGAGCAAGTTTCCTTACTCCACACACCTGAAATAATCCTCAAAAAAAAACAATAAATAATTGGTCTTCAATCCATGAACTGTTTGTGGGACCTGCAGTTGAATTGGCTGCCGCGATTTCCGCCGACAAATATACGTCATTCACTTTACATTATTCTGTGAAGCACTTTGAGACAGTCGTAGAAGATGTGAAAGCGCTATATAAATGCAAAGGATTATTATTATTATTATAATTTCACTTACAATTACAGCACAGACCCATTATAAAACCCTTTTTTATAAATAATAATAATGAATTGACTGTATATTTGTGGATGAAATGCGGCAATTGCGCACAGCAGTGTCCCACAAACAGTCGTTGATTGAAGTCACTGTTTTGTATTTTTCTTGAGGGATTATTAACAGGCGTGTGGGTAAGGAAACTTGCCTAAGGTTTTGCCCTGCCAGGAATCGAACCTAGGTCTCTCACTTATGAGGGAGTGTTCTTACCACTGAGCTACAGGACTCCACTTTTTTAAAAAATATAATGAAAGCCTGCTTGGGATGGGGCTGGGCTGTGGACCCCATTCAGTACGTAAGGACAGGGCAGCTCATAGGGCAGCTTTTTGCACTAAAATGGTCGACTTCCAGGTCACTGATACCGCTTGCTGTTGTGGTGTCATTTGTGACCCAATAACCCAGAAGTCAGCCATTTTAGCTTCATGTGCTAAAAAAATGCCTGAATTCTGACATTTGCAGCAACCAGGAAGTGATGATGATAGTCACCCTGAGTTCCAGAAAATTGACCACTTTTTGCTTTTAGTGTGCATGCAGTCAACCCACTCATGCCTTGCTAAAGTGCCAGGTTAGGATTTTATTGGATCCGAAAACACTGCATTATAACATAGCTCAACTGCAATTTCATTACATGAACAGCCTATTTCTTTATGTTTGTGAACAAACACATAAGATGCAGGATTTCTAATCTATTCCTATACTCCTGATAATCTCCGCCCCCCTGAACGCAGTTTAATCTCCAAAAGCGGTCAACTCCTATTTTTTTTGGGGGTGGGGGGCACGGGTAAGAGGCATTACAGGTTCTCCTTCTTCTTGAGGCACAAAGCTTTGCCTATTTTAGCACCTCAGACAACTTCTCTTCCAAAAGCCCTGGAAGCATTATTAGTGCCTGAACCTACACCTCAATTTTTTTTTTGGGGGGGAGGAGAGAAGGAAGTGGAGCTCCAGGGGTTTTTTTGCTTCCTCCTAGGACCCAGATAGCTTCATTTAATCTTACAGCACAGAGGGAGACCATTCGTCTCCTTGAAAGAGCTACCAACTGGTCGGACCCCGCACCCCCCACCCCCTGCGCTCTTTCCCCAAAGCCCTGCATTTTGTTTTCTTTTCAAGTAAATATCCAATTCGCTTTTGAAAGCTATTATTGAATCTGCTGAAGAAACGTTGATGCGTTGAATCATCTTCCCTGCAAAAAAAGCAACGCCAGGCAATGATTTTTTTTACACACACACTAGATCAACATCTTAGCCAAGGCCCACCAACATGAAGGTCCACTTGATCTGAGCCAAAAGGCCGAGGGAAGGGTAAAGTGAGGAA